TATCTTAAACAGTTTTATTAAAATAGAAACATCTACCTAAAGGTCAAAAACCATTATAGTTCACTTTTTTGGAAGAAACCATAATGGCCTATAATAGTTTCAAAATTCTTCTTCCACACTACCAACAACCAGAATATAATCTATTTGTATACAGTTCACAACATATTTCTAAAAAATCTAAACCCTAGTTACTTACATATACTGACAACAAGATAATTATTAGCAAAATCTGCAAATATCTAAAAAACATTAATCAAATATCTATTATACACTGGCAAACAAATATTGATATAAATCACTCTGGTTACTATTCTCTTTTACCAACCCAAAGTCTACTTTGTTCAGACTATTATCTAAACTCTAACAGAATTTAAAATTTATATACAATTAATATATTAGCAATTATCTCTTCCCAATTTTTAAGAAGCGTCAACTCTAACTCATTAAACTTCAATTTTAACTATATTGACCTTATTTATTCAACAGCTATTAAACATCCATTATCAACTTTTCCTGTACCAACAATTCCAATTCCCAACTTCTATGTCTTCAAAATATTCAAAACTAGTGAAGCAGCAAACATACTTAAACAATATTCAATTCTTAATAGCTCTCAACAATAACTTAACTTTTATACTGATGGCTCAGTAATTAATATTGGAACTGACCAATGTACAATAGGCATTGACTGGGTTCAGGTCAATAACAATAATCAAATCATTTACAAATTCTCTGCCAAAATCAACTTCTGGCCATCATCTTACAAAGCAGAACTGATGGCTATTCTCTCAGCTATTTCAACTACATCTCGAAATGCAATAGTCAACATCTTTAAAGATTCCTAATCCATTATTACTAAATATACCAACATCTATAATACAATTGCCAATTCTAACAAACTTTTCAAATTTAATACATGGCCTATATGGCATACTTTATTAAATATCATTAAATCATACAATCTCCAAATTAACTTCCATAAAGTTTAAGCTCATATTGACAATAATTTGAACAATCTCACTAACTCTCTTGCTAAGCAACATAATCTTTCTCCTAATTTATACTTCAATTATACTAATATTTACAACCCATATCATATGCTATACTGGGATCAACATTTTATAGAGTACTCTACAAGAATATTTATCAAAAATATTTGCAAAGCCTATATTCTGGCAATATGGTCATCTTAAAAATAAAACCAAGAATAAAACCAACTTATTTTGAAAATAAATTGGAGATCCACTTGGCTATACTTTAACCATAACCAAAAGCCAACATATAATATAACCAACTTTAAACTTAACTATCTCAAATTCTTTAAAATCAAAATTCTACTAAATGAATTATACACATATTTCCTATGTCATAAAATATATCCATATACTTTCCTTAATACAAACTGCTTTCATTGCAACTTACCTAACTCTTTAACACATTGGTGAACATGTTCTAATCCAATACTACTTACTAGTATTATTTGAGACATTATCTTCAAACATATTAGTCAAAGCAACTTGGGCCTCTCTAAATCTCAGTAAGAAGAACTTATTTAAAAAATTCAAAATCATGAAACTTTTTACCAGATACCATTTAATAATAATTTATTTTATCTTGATATTATTCTTAAAGGACTTATACTCAAATCCTTAATTTAAACAATCTAAAACCTTAACATCCTTTACAAATTAGCATCACAAACAATTATTAAAATATTACTTGAAATCAACAAGCTATGCTATGAACTATTCTGGAAACCATATTGTATAAATTTTGCAAATTGAAAAAAACAACAAGGTTTTAAACCTCCTTTTTCTAAATATCTAACTCAAACTAACTATAATAGACAAACTAAATACAACTGCCAAACATATACATACTTATGTATATGTGGACTATCTGACCAAATTCACTCAAACTCTAATACATGCTTACCTCTAAGTCATGCTATTAGAAAAATCAATATATGGACTATTCTCTGGATCAAATACAATATTTCATTTAACTATATTTTAATTATTCAAATCTAGGTGAGTCTTAACTACTCTAGTAGGTTTAGGTTGCAGATAAATATATCCAAGCTTTACTCTTGAATGTAGTTCTCTTCTTTTTGTATTTAAACTAGTTATATAGTTAGCAGTTTAATAGTTAGCTCTAACTGCAAATGTTAGCCTTAGCCATAGCATTTATATAGAATTATTTTTGTATATAGTAACCCATAAAGTTACTAACTTTAAAAACTACTAATAAAGATATGAGCAAGGCCTTACCTTAATATCAAAAAAAAAACTAAAGCAAGATTGAGTAAGAGGTTTATTAAAAATACTATTAAATTAGTTAAACTTATTAAAGTTATTAAGATTTAAGTTAAAATTATAAAAATGCTAATAATAGAAGTTTAATTAATAATAGAATTAGTATTAGTAACTATAAAAAAGAAAGAATTAATAAGGTTAGAGGTAATAGGTTTAGTACAAGATCAAAAGTTTTTCATATAAATAAATCATTTTAAAGATTTGGTGATTATAGTATATTTATATTAGTAAAAACTAAGACAGTTAATAGAGTAGATAGGTGAATAGATACAGAAACCAGAGTGTTTAAATAGAGGACTTATAAATGGATTCTAAATATAACAACTAGTATAGAACCTTTAGATGAACTACTTAAATTAGACAATAACTAAAGTTGTACAAGTAACTAATTGTATACTCTTTTTATGAATGTCTTTTATAGTTGTTGTAATACAATTACAAAGCTGAAACATACTATTAATCAAAATTTAGGTTGCAAGTATTCATCTTTAATATTAAAAAAAAAAAAGATTTTAGTATTAATTAATAAAATATAGATTAAAAAATTATTATATAGTTATATGAAAAATGTGTAAAAGAAAAAAAAAATAAGATGAAAACAAAAAAAATAAAAAAAAGTTTTACAAAAGAATAAAAGATGAATTTAGCTGTTATTCAATCAATATTAGATTAAACTATTTATTTAGAACTTGTTTTAACCAAACAAATGTTTAATTAAGAGTATAATATAGGTTTTGATAACAAAAACTGCAAGATTAAATTGTTAAAACTGAGAACCAAAGACCATTGTTACAGTTTTCTCAATAAGTATAAAATCTAAAAATGTAAAATTTGCAAAATATATATAAAATGCTGAGCTGAACAAGTTTACATAAGATATCAGAACAAATTGTCTTAGTAAAATAAATAGTTATAAGTGTTTTAAATGAATGATTTTTTAGTTAATTTTTTGTACAATGGATTTGCAGAAAGAGTTTTTTATTATAATCTGTTTTTAACAAATTCTTATTATATTATTAATTAATAAACTTCAAGCTATTAGATCTTTTTTATAACATTTTCAACAATATAATAATAAACATTTGCAAAATCATTCTATTAACTCTCTTAAGAATCTAGATCTTATTTCAAAAAACCTTACCTCTTCTGTTTTTATCTTTCTTATATATGATATTAATGAAATATCTATCTATCTTTTGCATAAATATAAACTCTTAGCAGGCTATTTTCTTTATTACAATAACAATCTATTATAAATTTCATAAATTATATATCACTTAAATCTTTTTTTATCACATCTGTACCTCTAAACTTCTTCAATACTTCCTATAACTTACCTAATAACCTTTTTTATTTTTCTATTTTATTACTTATATAAAAAACTTTTACTAACTGTTTTACTTCTACTGACTTTTACACTTAACTTAAAAACCTTGAAATGGACTCAAATAACTCTTCTAATCAATTGTATAATACCCATACCATCATACGTATACTATTACAACAATAATTACTTCTAAACACACCTCTCTTCTTATTAAAATTGGTACAATTACATAAATGAACTTTTACAAAATAACCAAAAACTCTCTTTAACTGAACTACTCCAAGAAAATAATTTCAAAATCTTTGAACTTTCTGAAACACAAGTAAAAGGTTGCATTTTCGATATGATTAACAAAAAAATTTTTTTAGAATGCTTTAAAAATATTCATTTTGCGTGATACAATCAAGCTACCTAATTGATAAATACATATTTAATAAAACTTTATTACCATGATAAGTATGATAAGTAGTGGAGCAAAAATGACACATGTCGATTGTGGATTAACAGGGATCAAGAAATGATGCACAACACATATAGCTAAAGTGCCACCCTTCTGTGATGTCGAGTAAATGATATTCGTCGAGAAGATTGATATGATGGATTCGGCTGCGAATACACTTTGACATTCCTCTACATTGAAATTAAATCACTTTTATCATGACGATAATGAAAAAATTTAATTACTTAGTCATTGAGAAATTAAATCAAATTTCAATTTCTCAACCAATTGAATCAATTTTTTTGCCATAAAAATATTAAATTTCTATTTATAAAGTCGTGAGCATTCTAATAGAGCATACACTAACCATTTATAGTTAGTTTTGGCAACTTTAACAAACTGTATTTACTAGGCTTATCGTTATAACAAAAACTACTGTTACTTATTTCCGAGCATCAATATAAATGAATTTTAAGTGTTACAAGATCTGGTATAAATAATCTGCCGATCAAAAAAAAAGGTTAAACGGACAACTTTGTTCCCGAATTTACGATAATTCATTATTATACGCTAAAAAAATGTTTATGCTAAAAAGTCAATTATCGATATCGAATACAATAATTATACGCAATAATGTTTACCTTGCTTCAAGATTATCGTCCAAATTTCTTAATTATTCAAGAGTAAATACTTTCTCAACGCATAATAATCCATTACATGCTTCTGCAATAGGATCGATTTCTGTATGTATTTTTTTCATATTATGGTAAAAAGTTTAGATTTTTGATAATATTTTAAGTTATCAATCCAATTCTTAGACTGACCCAATATTACATCACGGAAAATTTTATTTCGATAATATATATCCTATAAAAATTGGCTCTTTTGATCTACGGCATCGATTTGTTAGATCTAATAGATCTATATTAGAAGTAAAAATTAAATCTGGAAAATGGATACCACCAGAGAGTACAATGCCTTATGAATTTAAAGTAGAAGGTATAGAACCTAGGTAAGTTTTCTCCAAAACCATGAATACATCTATTTTTATTATTAATTACTGGCCTGTTTGTTAGGAAGAAGGAGGGTGGTATGTTTGTCAACTTTTCATTTCGTGCCGACCCTAAACTTAAAGAATCTGCATTGGAAGAGATTGAAAATCACATTAAAGATCATTTAAACGAAAATAAATTGGTCCCATGGTTTAATTTCCAGCCGAACAAGGCTTACCTTGTTGAGGTTCATTGAATTATCATTTCTTGAGTTTACTAGCTTATATTATTGTATAAGATTGCATAATTTTATATAAACCTTACGAGTTCTATTTTCTTTTCAATAGGGTGAACCTTTTATTGAGGATTTGGTTCAGAGATATCCAGCAAGGTTTGTCAGTAGTTAACCTTTTTTTATAATGATATTTCGGAATTGTGATTTAAATAATTTCAATAAATATTATAGTCGCCTGCGCGTTGAATTTAAAGGAACTGATGTTTCAATAGTATGTCGTTTTTGTATCATTCGAAAGTACAGTCAGTGAATAAAGTATTTTCATTACTTTAATAAATCATTTTTACAATTCAAATGATCAATTATAATTCGATAATGTTATAGGTTGATATTTAATTCATTTCGTAAAACTTAGTTTATTAACATGATGAATACTTTATTTAATAACTGTATTTTAAAAGAAAATTGCATTATTTAATTCGTATGTATACATTTTAAGGAACCTCTGTTCTACACATTTCGAAAATATGGTTTAATTCGTGACATAAATTTACATCAAGAATCAGCCAAAGAACCTCCACGATATGCGCTCATAGCTTATTCAAACATGAGATCAGCTGCCAGTGCTAGGAATTGTGTCCATGGAAAAATTATTAATTCCACAAGATTGAATATTTTTTATGATCAACCTCTTGTAAGAAATTTAGTATATATTCTTTTTGACCTCTTCCCATTTGATAATTAAAATTTTACTCTTATTAGAAATCAAATCTTATATACAATTGGATGGTTGCGCATCCAAGAATTTCTGTAGGTTTTAACAACTTTCGTTTTTATTAAATTTTGTAATTTAACAATTTAATTTATACAATTTCAAACTTTTTTTAGGTTCCACTCATTGCCGCTATAATTGCCGGGGTTTCATATATTATGTAAGCTATAAAACATTTAATATCATATAATTATTATATTTATGACTTACACATTTTAATATCATCTACCAGCTTTGATCCTATCCGAGTTTTCTTTATCGAATCTAAACTTACACAACGTTTTAATTTACAAGAATATCGTATATATCAATGGCTTAAAAGGCAGGCAATTGAACGTATATTATATCGGAATAAATCAATCTATGATCCATTGGCTGATATAAGTATCTGGAAGGAGCGAGAACAGGAGAAGCAAAAATTACGAAATTGGTTAAAGGAACCTCCAGGTTATTTTGTAATTTAATTTAATAAATATTATTTTTAAATTTTATTTTTAATATTATTTTTAAATTCCAATTTATCTTAATATTATTTATACACCAGAAACGTTCATTGTCTTGTTGGGTCCAACTGGAACTGGCAAAAGCAAATTTATTGAACAAGTGATTCAAGATAAAAAGTAAGCTTTCGATGCTTAGATATTGTTAATTATGTTCACACTTGCTGACAAATCTGGGCAAATCCCAAATTCAAAAAACAATTGCTATTTATAACAAATTTTGCATATATATATATATATAGTTATAAGAGTATATATTATAAAATTTTACGAGTTTGGGATTTTGGCGCGGACCAAATAATTTTATAATAATCTTTGAGATTTTTTTCAAAAATTATATATTCATGTTAATATACTTAACTTGCATTATTATATTTTTGCTAGGAATAAGATAGTGATTAAATGTGATGAAATTTTAAATTCACACAATGAACATGAGCTTATCTTGAGGTTGGCAAAACAAGTAGGATATTTCCCTGTGTTCTCATTATTAATCTCTATGTCAAATCTTATCGATGGGTTGGCAAGCGCAATGATTGGAAATAAAACAAGTATGTTAAATATTATTATTTTTAAAATTCGTTAAAAATTAATTTAATTCTCTTAATAACTTTTATAGTAACTTTTGTATCAACTTTCATATTATTTAGTTGGTTTTTCATCATCTGCCGATACAGAAATAAAAAAGATTCTTGATACGTTAGCGATCGCATTACACGATATTGCTCCTGTTTCTCTAATTAGAAAACATCAAAAGAAATCAAATAATTTTATTGAACCTCAATTTGTAGAATCTTATGATCCTGCTGATATTCCAATCGTGGTGATTGATTCATACATGACTAAAGATACAACTGAAAGGCAAGAAATTTGGAATCATTTAGCTAAATTAGCTGCCTTGTTAGTTGATAATGGTGTTGCACATGTGGTGTTTGTAAGTTCTAATGTGGGAATTATTAAGAGTTTGAGTAAAGGTAACGAATGATTTACATTAATTTGCAAACTTTATATCGTTATCGGTTTTATGTAACATGTAAAATATAAATTTTTTAAAGTATTTCCCAACAAGACATTCAACCATTGCAACCTTACTGATGCACCTGTTGAAAGAGCTGTGAACATGGTTAAAATGAATGTTGATGGTTACAATATTGAAGGGTTAGAAGACTTTGTTGGAATTTTGGGTGGCAGGTTAACTGATCTGAGATTTTTTATAAATAAAATTCGTGGTGGGCAAACTCCTCGAGGTAAGTTTAACAACACTTCAATATTTTTTAAATATTGTTTTTAGAAACGAATTAACCGCGTATTACATATTTATTATTTGGTTTTTTTTTTAAGATGCCTTAAATGATTTAATAAAAAAAGCCAATATTGAGATTCGAAAGATTGGCTTTGGTGATGATACGGATGATGCAAAAACTATTCCCTGGAAGGGGATACAATTTTGGAAAGTGATGAAAGAATTGGCTCGAAATGATCGTGTATGTAATTTTCTCTATTCAAAGACGTATTTGTATGATATGTGATAGTCTTAATTTTTATTTATTTATTTACTTATATTTTTTGTTTGATATGTGTATTAAGGTATCATATGATGCAATCAAATTCTCACCATTCTTTAATGGGGATGATACAGCAATTAGAGCTATGGAAGAAGCAGAGTTGATAACTATTTTACAGCTTAGTGGTATGTTAATTGAGAAATTTAATTAATGGCTTTTAAGATATACAGATAATATTTCAATAATTCTAATGGCTTTTTTAAAAAAAGGTCGACCGGATCAGATTCAACCTGGAAAACCACTTTATAAAGCTGCATTTGAACAGATATTAACTGATTCATTATTTACCGCCACTATGGAATTGCAAACTGCTCAATATTTGTTATCTGCTGAAACTAGCAAAATAAGTAAATGTGAAGAAGAATTGGAGAAATTAGGGCAATTATTTGTTAAACAAGAAGGAAAATGGCTACTGGGTGGTGGACATGTTCCAGCTTCTGTAGATGAGAGAGTGAAATTTTTATTGACGAGATTACAGAAATATCACACAAGTGCTGAGAAGTGGCAATTGGAAGTTGATAGGCTTAAAAAGGTTATTGCAAGTGGTAGTGCATAATTTATATTAGTAAGATAATTATTAAATGAAAATAAAATTTAATAATAAAAGCTCTAAAATTATATTTAGTCTTTTAAATACTTTCATATTTCAACTATGTCTTGGTATTTATTAATCAAATTGGCAGTAAATTCACTTTATGTATTTATTAGATACAGTTCAAGACATCTATTCACGTCATGCAATAAATAATTGATTACAATTATTAAAAACTTTTTCATAAATATATTATATAAGAATCTGATTGGTTAATAAATATTTTATCCTTTATTAAATGGCTAGAACGATTATTTCTATACGTATTGAAATTCAGTAGCATTAATATATTAAAAATCAAAACATATACAGTAGTTTTTTTTATTTACATTGAAGTGTTGTCGCACCTATATTAGGTCATAAGACCAGATGTACCGTTTTGCCCACTGCATACAATACCCGGGTCTTATTCAAAGAACTTCACCCGTGGGTGCTGTGTGAGGAACCGGGTACTATATTTGGGTGATATATCATATGAAAGTAAAAAATTAATATAGTTATACCCGGTACTATTCACGAATTAAGCCAGGTGGGTGGTGAATAATACCCGGGTTTTAATCAAGGGGTATTATTTTGAGGTAATGCGAGATCGAACAAAAAACCGCGTGTTGCTTCAACCACTATTTAAAGTTAGGGTAAGACATAACCGTGATGAATAAATTTACTCTAAAAAAAAACCCCCCAGCTCTATTATATTTTAAAAATTTTTTAACTTTTAAATTCAGTATTATATGTGATCTATATGAATAAATATCTCTGATTAATATTGGTGACATTCAACACCGGGGTGCTATATCTGATCCCTATCTTGATCTACAATTGCACCTAACCCTACATTGTGGTACTGTAATAAAAATATTGTAATGGGGTGTACGTATATTAATAACCCCCGGTATAAATATCTTTTTTTTTAAATAAAAAAATTTACATAACATTCTTAGTTTATAAATTTTATGGTTTTTTATCAAATAATTAGCTTTTATAATTTATGCAAATTTTTTTTATTGAATATTTATTAACCCCAACTATATATTTAGTGATATGACTTATTCTGCACCATATCATAATAAATTATAAAATAAATTTACTACCTTTACACCGAATTCATCAAATTTGAAATACTAAAATTTAATAGACAATTAAAATTAAAATAATTATAACGGCTCCGATAATAAAAAGGTTACATATAAACTTTATAATTAAATTACTAACTTAATATTAGCGTTCGTGATTTATTAATAATGGTTATTAAACAATTCTGGTATGAAAATAGGTCTATAATAGATTTTAATTGTCATCAGGCATATTCCGTTATATATGCATAACTAGTTGATTTTTTGTTCTTTTTACTCTACTAATATTTGCAATTTGCAAACATCTATATAACAGAACTTTTAAGTCAGCCCAGATTTCCGTTATATCGATAGTTAACTATATATGTATTATGAAGTTAACAAAATTATCATACAGCAAATATTTCATATTTGATTTCGATGTATAGAAAGGATTTAAATCATTTTATTTCTTGTAAAAATAATTTTCTTCTTTTCTAATGAACGAAATATAGTAATGGCTACTATGTAGAGATAAATAATGATGATTGGAAAAGTGCACATATTTAAAATTAGCGATAAAATTAGCGTTAGATTAAATTTAAATACACATGAATTTAGTTCCTTATAAGTTAAATAATTCAAGTTTTTTTTTATAACGATAACGATAGTTGTTCTCTTTTTGGCAAAGATCTTGAAATTTACGTATTTTCAACGCTCGTGAATAATTACCATACTAATTTCAGTACCCCGGATTTTAGATAGATTGTTAATGTAGAATCTTCTAGAATTATGCCATCAATAGAAGCATTTGTTTATCTGTTTATATTTAAACCTGGGGAAGTTGCTTGACAATACTACAGAGTACAAAACTGCGGCCTTGGCGCAGGAATCATCGTATTATTTTGATCACTAGGCGGTCAAAAGGGCAAATTAAATCTTCACTCCTTTTAACATTTTTGTTTTTTCTTTTTTTTTTGATATAGACAACTGCAATAAATAATTTCATATAGTGTACTTTCTTTATAGTACTAGTCACTTATCATTCATGCGCATAAAGTATATAGTTAAAATGTATTAAAATGGAGTTTGACGGAAGTGATATTTTTGATTCTCAAGATTTTTTAATTGGAGAAGAACCTGATACGGAATTTCAATTTTCTGAAGAAAATGACATCCAACCATTGACTAATCAAGAGGAAATCAATTCCGGTTCATCATCCGCTTCGTCGTCGAATGCTGAGCATTCCACGGCTGATAAAAATAATGATGAATCGGTGCGTTCTAGGCTGGGTGACCTTGCTTCAAATAAGGCAGGGTTACAAGGAGTCGACAAAGAAAAGATTAATCAAGTTATCTATGAAGCTTCAAAGGTAAAAAAAATTCTACATAATTTTATATAATATATTAAACATTCATGTAATATAATTGCTTTAAACTTATATTTACTTTTAGGACTCAGCGTTTTATCACAATGAAGCCAGAAAGGATGAGGCTCTAAAGCACAAAACCGAACAGCTATTAAAAAAATACGAAGCTCTCAGAAGACAAGATTTATCTAGTTTTGATAATAAAGTTAATAATTTGGTGCAAGCTATGGAACGTAAGAGGGATTTATCTCGCATAATAGTACATATTGACATGGACGCTTATTATGCAGCAGTCGAAGAAAGAGATAATCCTTCTTTGCGTGGCAAACCAATGGCTGTTGGAAGTAATTCTATGTTGAGCACATCGAACTATGAAGCCAGACGTGTATGATTAATCTATCAAAAATTCTTATATGTAAAAATTATCGTTATCAAAAATTTTTAGATATAAAATTTAATTAACTTTCACTTTAATCAAATAACGTCTTTATTATTTCAGTATGGTGTACGTAGTGCTATGCCGGGTTTCATTGCTAGAAAGTTATGCCCAGAACTTATTATTGTTCCATGTAATTTCGACAAATATCATGCAGTCGCGAAGCAAATACGTGAAATTTTTGCTCGTTATGATCCAAATTATACTCCAATGAGCTTGGATGAAGCATACTTGGATATTACGGAATATCTTAAAACAACTGATAAAACCCCTGATGAAGCTGTTGAGCAAATCCGTAAAGAAATATATGAAGAAACAAAATTGACAGCTAGTGCAGGTATCGCCGCCAACATGTTGTTATCTAAAATATGTTCTGATTTTAACAAACCAAATGGGCAATATCGACTTCCAAATAATATTAATGATATCATGAGATTCATTCGACCTCTTCCTGTTCGTAAAATCCCTGGTAAGTTCTTTTCACATCTATTTCAATTCTTTTACTCATTAAATAAACAATTACCTTATAACCTAATCGTCAAGGCATTGGTCGAGTTACTGAGAGAATTTTGAAGGAGTTAGACATTAGTACATGTGGTGCGATGCTCGACAGTAGTGTCTACATATATAGGATGTTTTCATCAGTTTCATTCAATTTTTTCATACGGTCTGCACTCGGAATCGGATCGACTACTGTTAAATCGTAAAGTCTATTCCCATTAATATCATTATTATGATTATTTGAATAATTTCATTGTAATTAAATTATTAATTAATATTATTCAGAGAATATAAACGGAAAAGTATGAGCATATCAAGGTTTGCAAGACATTTTAAATTAATCATTATCTAAACGTTAATGCAATTTGACTGATTTATGTATTATACTATAACAACCTAATGAGTTACTAGCTAAACTCCGCGAACTAGTTGATCATTTGGCAGCTGACCTTGCTAAGGAATACCTCCACGTAAGTAATTAATTTTACGATACAGTATATGAACGTAGAGTATCATTTAAAATGTGCTTTATTAATCATTTAAAATGTAGGGAAAAACTATTGCGTTAACATTCAAATCTGTTAGTTTCAAAGTGACTACACGAGAAAAATCTCTTAAAAGATATATATATA